ACAGGGACAGTGAGGACACTGCCCTATAACACCCACAGCTGATATGGGGACAGTGAGGACACTGCCCTTTAACACCCCACAGCTCACAGGGACAGTGAGGACACTGTCCTATAACACCCACAGCTGATATGGGGACAGTGAGGACACTGCCCTATAACACCCCACAGCTCCTATGGGGACAGTGGAGACACTGCCCTATAACATCCCACAGCTCACAGGGACAGTGAGGACACTGCCCTATAACACCCCACAGCTCCTATGGGGACAGTGAGGACACTGCCCTATAACACCCACAGCTGATATGGGGACAGTGAGGACACTGCCCTATAACAACCCACAGGTCCTATGGGGACAGTGAGGACACTGCCCTGTAACACCCACAGCTCACAGGGACAGTGGGGACACTGCCCTATAACACCCCACAGCTCCTATGGGGACAGTGAGGACACTGCCCTATAACATCCCACAGCTGATATGGGGACAGTGAGGACACTGCCCTATAACACCCACAGCTCCTGCAGCCCCTGGTCTTCCCCCAGGTCCCAGTGGCAGCTCCATAATCCATCTCTCCCTCTTTCTCCTCCTCTCTTCTTACTCCCTCTGCTTCTCTTCCTGTGCTCCTTTCTTGATGCTTTGGGTGCCTTGGAGCTGGAGGGGTTGGATTTTAACTCCACTGTAGTGGAGGGGTTGGATTCTGACTCAGGTCCCGTGGATTGGTCTGTGCTGGCTCAGTGTTGGGGCGGAACATTTTCGCCCAGCTCGTGTGGTGCCCTTTGGAACTTCTGCCAAGTTCCCTTATTTTCTCCCCTAAATTATCAATAACTATCCCCTCTTGGGAACAAGCCCGTGGCTGACTCTCTTTGGGCCACCTCCAGGGATTAAAGCACCCGATATCTCTATATTTTTAAGTCAAACCCCTGGCTGAGCCCATGAGCTCACACCTGATTCTCCCATCACATCCCCCAGGACTCACAGCCTCCAACGAGCTGCTCCTGGAAGGACACAACGGACACAACAGACACAAAGCAGCACAGCTCCAACTACAACCAGACTGAGACCCACCCCCAAAACCAGCCAGAAGAGCTGGAAAACACATCCCATGTCCCGGAGAAAGCAGAGGAGAGGGAGCCCTTACGCCTGCCTCGCCTGCTCGATGGGGTCCCAGTTGTCCAGGTAGTTGTAGC